AGGCAGCAGCAGGATCAGAAGCAAAGCATGATGATCTGCTGCCGGCAATCATCATCATCATCACCACCACCAGCAGCTAGCTAGCTAGCTAGCTAGCTAGCTAGCTAGCCAGCCAGCCAGCCAGCCAGCCAGCCAGCCATCCAGACTTGTTCCGGAATGTTTCCGGCAGCCGTCCCCGGAGAGATGATGATTCCCGCCGGCCGGAAGATATCCGAGGTAAAAGTACTGTAGCCGGGCCTCTGAGACGGGGATTGCGCCAATAGGTTATTGGGTGTTTCCGGCCGGCCGGCATCTGGGCCTCCGGCATGTGCCGGAGATGTTCCGTTCAGTTGCCGTACGGACGTGGAGAAGATGAATTGCGTCCCCGTTTCAACGGGAAAAGCAGGTTGAGGTGAAAGGAGCGCATCTCAAGTGAAGCCATGTCGCAACAGTCTCCTCTGCGTTTTGCTCCAACAGTTTGGAAGCTACATTCAAAAAAAAAAAAAAACGACTGAGACTCCGAAAATTTTCGACGAGGATTGCCCGTTGAAAAGACACACTGCGATGCATGGTGTCCCGGAGACATATACACCATTTTCTCACGATCTGTATATATATAGGGAGACGGTGGTGCTTGCCGCTCCTCCAAGAGGTGGTAAGAAAAAAAGCTGGGTTAACGGTGATTGCTCGCCCTTGAGTGTAGCAGGTTGCCTTAGCTGTCTTCCATCGGCCCATCTGCTGGGTCTCTGGCCTCAGCAGCACCAGAAGCAATGCATGAGGCTCTGCTCTCTGCTATTTCCATTCTGAAGTGAAGTTCACACAGCTAACTCTCTGAACCATCTATTATAAGGAGCAACAAACCGACATCGGTTCTCTGGCTTAAAGAGGCAGCAGCAGGATCAGAAGCAATGCACGATGCTCCTCTGCTGTCCGCCGTTTCCATTCTGACGTGAAGTTCACGCAGCTAACACTCTAAACCATCTATTATAAGGAGCAACAAACCGACATCGGTTCTCTAGCTTGAAGAGCCCACAGGATCAAAGCAATCCACGATCTCCCTGCTGTCCGCCTTTTCCCATTTGAGTAAAGTTTTACGCAGCTAACTCTCTTAAACCATCTTTATCAGGAGCAAAAAACCCGACATGGTTTTTGCTTCAAAGTCGCAGCGGGGATCAGAAGCAATGCATATGCTCTTCGCTGCCCGCCGTTTCCATTCTGACGTAATTTCACGCAGCAAACTCTCAAACCACTATTAAAAGGAGCAAAAACCCCGCATGGTTTCTCTTTTAAAGAGTCAGCGCGGATCAGAAGCAAGCATGTGCCCTCTGCTGTCCGCCGTTTCCTTTCCCCGTGAATTCACGCAGCTAACTCTTAAACCTCTTTAAAAGGGAGCAAAAAACCCGACATCGGTTCTCTAGCTTAAAAGGCAGCAGCAGGACATAACAACGCATGATGCTCCTCGTGTCCCCCGTTTCCTTTCTGACGGACTTTCCCCGCAGCAAAATCTGTGAATTATTATTAGGAGCAAAAAAACCGACATCGGTTCTTAGAAAAGAGGCAGCAGCAGGATCAGAAGTAATGCATGATGTCTCCCGTTTCCATCCGACTTGCTTTCACGCACAAAATCTCAAAACCTCTATTGGGAGAAAAAAAAAAAGACATCAGTTCTTACTCAAAGAGAGCAGAGGTCAAAGCAACTGATCCGCTGTCTGCCGTTTCAACCCTACGTGACTTTCACGAGAAATCTCGGGAACCATCTATTAGGACAAAAAAACCCGACATAGGTTCTTAGTTATAGGCAGCGCAGGATCAGTAGCAACGCATGATGCTTGCCAAGCCCCCAGCCCAGTTGACTTTGAGGCGAGGGGCCCCAAGAGCGATGGGGTTTTTCGGGCCGAATGCTGCCGGCAGAGTGTTAAGTCCAAAAAACGACTGGTCTCAAAAATTTTTCGACGAGGATTCCCCGTTGAAAAAGACACTGCGATGCATGGTGTCCCGGGACATATACACCATTTTCTCAGACTAAATATATGGGGGGACGGTGTTGTTCCCCTCCCCTTGCTCCGGGGTGGAAGGAAAAAAAAGCTAGGTTAAGGGGATTCTCCTTCGAGTGTAGGGGTTCCCTAGTGCTTCCATGGGGCCCATCTGGGGGTTCCGGCCTCTGTTGCCTCACAGTAGGCTGCGGTAAGTCGGGGGCCGGGCGCGGGAATTAGTTTAGCTGCCCCCTGCTGCTTGCTTTCCTTCTGCCCCCGTCCCCCGCCCTTTCCTTTGTGGGCTACCCTTCTATTGTTCGTGTCATATCATTACCCGGGGATACGTCTCCAGCTTGCCCATGACACGCAGCATCGAGTTGTGCTCACGACCTCGATCGGTCTGAGAATGGGAAAAAGCGTTGAACAAACCGGGATCGGTTTGTTAGCCGAAAGAGGGGAGCATGAACAAAGCATGATGCTGTCCTGCCGGCAATCTCATCAGCTGCAGCGTGCTAGCCCGCCCCAACCATGCAGGAGGCTACTGCACAGCAAGCTTGGGCGACGGTTGAAGCTTCCCGGCTACGTCTCCAACAGGGGCAGCTCCCCCACAGTGCCATACTGGTCTGGGCCCTTATGGGAGTAGCGGGAAAAAAAACGGAGATAGCTTCCCATCTTCATACCTACCCGGTTGATCCTGCCAGATCATATGCTTTTTCTCAAAGACTAAGCCTGCGGTGCAAGTACAAAACGAAAAGCGAAACCGCAAAATGCTCATTAAACCGCCTTGTTTCATTGATCTGTATACCCACTTTCTTGGATAACTGTGTAATTCTAGGCTAATACATCATTACGTCTCTGACCCCAAGGGGGGGGTTTTATTAGTTTAAAAACCGGTCGGGGCCCCGGTCCCTTAACCCCTGTTGAAACTGAATAAAATTTTTGCTGAGGCCGGTCTCTGCCTGGCGCGTGTCTTTCAAGTGTCTTATTTTTTCCCCTTTGATTGTCGGGTTTTGCGCCTAAGGCGGTAACGGGTAAGGGGGTCAGTTCGATCCCGGGGAAAGGGGGCCTGAGAAACGGTACCACATCTAAGGAAGGCAGAGGCACGCAAAATTTTCCCCCCCCGGCACGGGGAGGTAGTGACGAAAAAAAAACGATGGAGACTCATCCGACCCCCCAATGGAATGAGTACACTTTAAAACCTAAACGAGGGTCATTGGAGGAATCTGGTGCCAGCAGCCCCGGTAATTCCCGCTTTCCAAAAGGGTTTTTGTGTTGTTTCGGTTAAAAAACTCGTATTGAGCTTTTTCTGGACTGACGTTTCACCGCCGATGGTGCTTACTGTCACGCTCCGAAGGGTTTTGAACTAAAGCCCCCCGCCGGCTTGCACGGGGTGTCTTCCCCGAGTGTCCCGAGGGGCCCGGGCACAATTACTTTGAAAAATTAGAGTGCTCAAGCAGGCTAAGCGAAGGGCCTGAATGGTGTTGTGCATGGATAATGGAATAGGCCTCGGTTCTTTTTTGTTGGTTTTCGGAGCCTGAGGTAATGACTAATGGGGACAAGCGGGGGCATTCGTATTGCGACGCTAGAGGTGAAATTCTTGGACCGTCGCAAGACGAACTACTGCGAAAGCATTTGCCAAGGATGTTTTCATTAATCAAGAACGAAAGTTAGAGGTTCGAAGGCGATCAGATACCGCCCTATTCTAACCATAAACGATGCCAACTAGCGTTTCCGCCGGCGTTAATTCCCATGACCCGGCGGGAAAGCTTCCCGGGGAAACCAAATTTTTGGGGGTTTCCGGGGGAGTATGGTTGCAAAGCTGAAACTTAAAGGAATTGACGGAAGGGCACCACCAGGAGTGGAGCCTGCGGCTTAATTTGACTCAACACGGAAAAACCCCTCACCGGGCCAGACACTGGAAGGACTGACAGATTGAGAGCTCTTTCTCGAATTCGGTGGGTGGTGGTGCATGGCCGTTCTTAGTTGGTGGAGTGTTTGTCTGGTTAATTCCGATAACGAACGAGACCCCTTAGCCTTTTAAAACTAGTAAACGGATCTCGAGTAATTGGTGTCCAGTTCGCAACTTCTTCTTAGGGGGATAATGGCAAGCCCTAGCCGCACGAGATTGAGCAATAACAGGTCTGTGATGCCTTAGATGTTCGGGGCCGCACGCGCGCTACACTGAAGGGATCAGCGTGTTCTCCTTATCCGAGAGGAGGGGGTAACCCGTTCAAACCCCTTCATGATAGGGATGGGGCTTGCAATTTTTTTCCCATCAACGAGGAATTCCCCGTAAGTGCAGGTCATCAGCTTGCGTGACTAAGTCCCTGCCCTTTGTACACACCGCCCGTCGCTACTACCGATTGAATGATTTAGTGAGGCCTTCGGACTGGCGCTCTTGGACGTTCTACCCTGCGTGCCGACTCGCTCGGTGCACGGGGTTTTCCTCGCCTCGAGCTGACGGAAAGATGTCCAAACTTGGTCATTTAGAGGAAGTAAAAGTCGTAACAAGGTTTCCGTAGGTGAACCTGCGGAAGGATCATTTAATTAAAGGCGGGAAACGATGATTGAAAAGGGAAAGAGTTTCCATCACTCATCTCATCGTCCCTCACAACCCCAAGTGGGTCCATGCAAAACAAACAAAAAACTCTCTTAACATTAATTACGTCCCCCCTCATAGGAGGGACAGAGACCAATTAGACACCTCTTAACGGGGATCACTTTGGCTCGTGGTCGATGAAGATCGCAGCTAACTGCGTGTCGGTATGTGAATTGCAAGGCTACCAAAACATCGACAAATCGAACGCACATTGCGGCGGCGGCTCGCAAAAGACAGCTGCCGTCACTCCTGCACGAGGGTCTGGAAACCATCCAAAAATCCATGATTAATCAATCAATCGTCCATCGGGTCGCTTTCGTCCCGCTCTGGGAAATCACCGGCATAGCCCCTTTCCTCCTCCCGCTATTCCTCCTCCTGCTCCGTTGGTAGGTAGGGAGGGAGGCAGGCAGGCAGGCAGGCGTGTCGGGGTTTTCCCTAATAACCAGTGC